AACGTCATTATTTTGTGAGGTAAAAGCCTCCTCCAGTATCTCTTCCAGCACCAGTTACCATGGTGAAGCCTCTCAATATTTAGGGAAGATGAACCACTGTTTGAATCAAGGACAGAATCTAGCACCAGTATTCAACCACTTGTTGTTTATTAATCCTTGATGCTGCCAGGTTCTGTGATATATCCAGTGCTTTGCAAAAGTTTGTTCCTATTCATCTGGTTCACAAATTGTCACATTTCAACCAAGTCTTCTATTAGGATTTAATGTGTTAGACTATGGCAAAATAGTGTCTAACTTGGAGAGGAAAGAAACTGTTTTTATCATCCATCCATCCATCCATTTTCTTCCGCTTGTCCGGGGTCGGGTCGCGGGGGCAGCAGCTTCAGAAGGGAGGCCCAGACTTCCCTTTCCCCAGCCACTTCTTCCAGCTCCTCTGGGGGAACCCCCAAGGCGTTCCCAGGCCAGGGGTATCATAGTACCCCAAACTTATAAATGCCTTCAGAAGTCTCCCAATTGGTCAATAGGTTGTGTGTTATTTATTCTTCTTATGAATCCTCTTCAAGGAAGCATAATAGATTCCCATAAAAAAAAATAAAAAATACCTTCACTAACTGTTTGAGTAGTGTTAAATGAGCAGTGGTGAGATAAGGCTTTTAAGTTTTACTTCTGAATTTCCCAGTCTGCAACAATGCTAAGACAAAATATCCAGTTTACTTTTGCAATGCAGCAGCAGTATAAGACTATTTTCAATGCGTTCGTTTGTCACCAAACACAGCCCCACTGTTCACCTAAAGGCTGGCAGTTTAGCGCTCATTACAGCTGAAGGCAGCTTAAACAGTTAAATCCCTTGGCTCCTTCTCTGCGATTGCTTTTGGAACCGCTGCATTGTGAGGATAAAGCGGTTTTTACCAACACATTTTGGCCAGAACGCAGCTGGCTGACATGCGGAAGGAGCACACGCAGGGGGCTGATGAAAGCATCTCGAGTTCCGTGATTGTTGGCAGAAACCTGCGCTGCACAAACCAAAGTTGGCTCGCACAATAACCCCAGAATTTATTTGTTAATATGACTGTGTGCAATATTGAATTTTAATTTTCTCTCTGTCTAAGCAAAACAAAACTTAAATCTAGTAAAAAATAAAAATAAAATAAAAAAAGCAAATTTCAAAAATCAATTGAAATAGAAACTGTAATTTTAGATTTTGCCAAGAATTTCACAATATTCAATTAAATCATCAATTTCAGTTAAAACAAAACCTAGAGATGGTATTTCAGACTTAACTCGCTTACTTTGAAATGCAGTCTTTGCCCTCCACTCTGCTGCAGCCTCTTTCTCTTCCAGAGAAACTCCATAAAGGGGTTAAAGTATCTGGGATCAAATGCATCAAAGAAGCTTTGTGGACAAAGTAAGTGTTGAGAAAGAGGCAGAAAGAATAAGAAGCATGGCTTGAAAGCAATGAGTGGGCGATGAGGCTACAAAACAGCCTTGTATCTAACGGAACCGCATTTCATATTCTGTTCAGTCATACCCAGTGGAAACCAATCTTGGGTAACAGACCTGACGTCACGTGAGTTGCCTTCTTTCAGAGAGACAAAAGCATACAGAGGCCATTATGCTAACCCGATCCTTTCCTCCTGCTTTGAGATGTTTGAGGATTTCATCTACATAGAAGAGTGTCTGCATTGTTTTGCATGTCTGTGGAGGCTTGATTAGACAAGCTTCCTCACAATTTCAACACGCCTGGTGCTGATTATTTCCTCTGGCCCGATATGCTGCCAGTAATGACAGAGTGCAGGACCCTTGCTCATTATCTATAAATCCAAGGTGCCATGGGAGTAATTGGGCAGAACTGAGCCTAGTTCAAAACACTGGGATTGATTCATAAGGGACGATTCTTGTTTATGCTGCTTCCTGCCTCTGCCCACAAGTGGTCTTTCAAAATTACGCATCTATCATTCATGCAACATCCTAGAACTGACGAAAACATGCTGGACAATTCTAACTCTCAATTATTGTCTCTTCAGAATTATTGAAAACGTCTATAATCAAAAGTTGGTGCACTGGAAAGGCAAAACACAGTTTGTCACACTTTTTCAAAGTAAAAGTGTGACAAAACTCTATACAAGTTCTCTATATTTATGTGTAATTTTAGCCTTACAAAATTATTAACATTTGAATGTTTTATCCTATTGCAACCACTAAAATATCTTCTTTTTGCACCAGTTTAGTTGAACACACTAATTAAAAGTTTTTGGAGGTAGTCAAGATGTTCATATTCAGATGATTAAGAAAAGAAACAAGTGAAAAGAGCCTCCATGATGTTGATCCGTATCTATAAGATTACACACAATCAGCTGCAGTCTTACATTCAGAAACAAAATGGACCTTGATGTGGTGTGTCAAAGCGTCTTTACAATCATATCCATAATAGTGTTCGGTGCACCATTTATGGATCTCCAAGATAACTTTGCAATGTAATTTGGCTCAGAAAATTGTCCACAATGATGTGAAGGCTCTGCTTAGAAAGAGTCAGCCAGTGTACTGAAAAGCATGTAAGTGATATACTACCCTGGATATACATTGTATTTAATGATGCATCCGCTTCCAAAGCTTAACAGCCACTGAAGTGTTAGAAAGCAGGTCTATATATTGTATCTGCTTAGTTTAAATGCTAGTGTCTCGCAGAGAAACCACATCTGTCTCCTCTTTAATTTGCTTGAAAGCCGGCGTTGCTTTTATTCTCTAATGCTTTTATTGAAGCGGTGACACTTTTTGCTTCAGCACAATAGAAATATCTTGTTTTTTAAAACACCCTTGAAGGCAGTTTGAGGTGGAAATTGCCCACAGGTGCCTACTATAAAATGGTAACAAGGACAGACGGACACAAAGCGCTGTTTGGGTGCCGTGTTCATGAAAGGCCAATCCACTGATTGAGCTGTCACATTCACAGATGCAGCAATAAAACTAAGCAGGGCAATTACTGTAGATGGAGGATGGTGGGCTGTGGAAAGTCATGAGAATGGGGGCGGGGGGGCAGACGTAGTGTGTCTTCCCCTAAAATACCCAAATGGGAGACAACGAGACAAAGCAAATCTATCTGTCTGTAATAAGGCTGGGAGGGGGTTTGAAAAAAAGAGGGTTCAGCTAATGGTTACAGTGTTCTAACAATGAGAGTTACATCTCAGTGGATGGTAATAAAGCTAACAGCATATCTGTGCAGCTTTTATGTCCCAGGCTGGCTAATCACGATGTCCTCTTTGAAATATGAGGAACAAAGCTATGATTAAAAACAATTCATCACCAAACGCTTCAGCAGAGGGTACGTCAAGAGCGCAAATTTAAATTTAGGAAAGAAAAACAAGAAAGAGATAATACTGACATGTTTGTTTTGGTGAACAACTACATTGCCATCTAGTGTACATATTGGGGGACTACATCGCCTGCATGTTTTCCTATAACTTGTCACATTAGTAATTATAATCACTGAAAACAACAAATCTGTTTCTAAGACCTGTGGAGCTTCGTTTTAACTGTTCTGTTCATTAATTAAAATTGAATAGTGCCCTGGTGCAACAGCCGCATGGTGTAAAATGTAATTTCCTCGTTATTTGTTAGCATTTAGACATCTTCACCATGCATTTCTACTCTTGCCTGTATTGTGGGTTGTGTCAGTGGGATATGGATTTTGAGTCTGGAGACCTCCGGCAAATATGAGCCTGAGGGCAGCCTGGATACTGCCATCTGTTGCCTCCAGCGCCCTCAGCAGCAGCTCCATGTCCTCCATGTCCCTGAACCGTTGATGCTTGGACTGCCAATGGCCCTGGTGAAAGAAACCCAACAAATAAGCTTTTTTTTTTTTTTTTTAGACATAACTTGGGGAACTTTTAGCATCATTATCTCCTCAATGAAATGATCACAATGGGGAGTTATAGTTGCTTTGTTCACTTATGGAGAAGCTGTAGAGTACATCATAACTGACCACTGCCAACTGAAATCGGGGCTGTGTCACTGTTATTATAAAAAGCTAAAAAAAAAAAAAAGGTAGTGTAGCCAGGTTTTGCAGGAAGGAGTTCTGAATAGTGCTGAATTCCAACTAAATTATATATAGTAAACTCAGAGCTGACTGGAGCATTAAAAAAAAAATCAAATCACTTTGTTACAGAAAGGTTTGCACTCCACTCTTTACACATTTTCAAAGAAAAATTATTGAAAGTCCACTTAAATTATCTGTGATGCAAAAAAAAAAAAAACCGAAAACGTTCTGCTAATAAACAGATAAAAACAAAGTTGCTGCATCCCTTACTCTATGCATTTTTTTTCTAAAAGAGAGGTAAAATATAAGGTGAGAGAAAATAATAATGGTTTCTAACATCTGCCACGGATGTCTAACTGGGCTGGTTTCAAGATTATTTTCAACTTACAGTTTAGCTTTTGTGGATGTATTTTGTCTCAGACTGCTGTTGTTTATCACACATTTTAGACTAAGGAATTGGTAATGAAAGTCTCTAAAACCAGAGTTTACAAAAACGGGAAAGGAAACGGGAAAGGAAAGGAATAAATACCATATTTTGCCCTTTTGTTATTAAAAAGGTTCCACCAAGCATGTGCTGGAACCTTTCAGTGCAACATTTAAAGGTTTAGCAGGCATAGATACAAAATTATTTAGATCTACACAAAAATAAAAAATATTAAAAAATAAATAAGTAACATTCTGTTTGAGTGACAATGCTAAAAGACTAAAACCCAAATTTCATCATAACATGTGACTGCAGGTCGAAATCAGGTCTACAAATAAAAACAATAAAGGTTTGTAAAATTCTTAAGTGCTATTGAATCTAGTTATATAATATCAAGAAAAATTACAAAAACAGAATATGTTTTCAGATAAAGCATCCATGTTACAAGAGGACAATAGCACATGAGAACATACAAGTAAAACCAGACGGCGGAGGTAGTGCGTCAAAAAAAAAGAAAAAACTGCATACGTAACAGTGGAATACCAACGAAGAAGAAGCTTGGCTGTGATTGGTTCATTGGGTAGCATGGCGTTTGAATGAAAGCAGGAAGAGCTGTAACAGCAAAGGAAAGAGGTTATCGCTATTTAGCGACTCTAGTGAGTTCTGTTACCCTCTAAACCTGTCATTTCTAGTCTTATATATTCTCAGAGTATGTCTTAGAAGTCACAGAAGGTCTGTCCGGTGAGGTAAGTGCTTCTTAGTGTTTATTTTCAGTGATGCTAACAGTTTGTACCTTAGAGTTAGCTTAGTTTCAGCGAACACACACGGACACATACGTCGGGTAAAAAGCTGCTATTCGTAAGAAAAGTCGTTGATTCCTGTTTGTTCAACTCCCTTTCACTATATGCAACTAGTGTCACTGGATAAAAACCAGTCAGGTCCGTCCTCGGTTTGAGAACGCTGTGTCCTTTGGAGTCCAGGGTCAGCCCGAAACCCACATGACCATATTTACTGTGGACTTTTCAGGAGAACAGGCTTTTATTGAAACAGTGTTATAAAAATAGCGCGACTCTGTGTGTTGTTGGCCAGAGCTGTTTGGTAACTAACTTTACAAAGTTAGCTTTAGCCAGGCTTGACCTTTGATCCTGTGTCACAGATAAGTGATGTATTTATTTCCAAATGAAGCCACAGTTTTAGATAACTCTGCGTTTCTTACTTATTGGATTATTTTAGCATGTCATTGTTTCATGTTGGATGAAACATAAATGTTAGGCTGTGAGCGCTACAACCCACTGCTCTTTACTAAAGTATTCATACCTATTGAAGTCTTTAAATTTTTGTGGATTTCAACCCACAATTTTCAATGTATTTTATTAAATGGGTCAATGGGGTATTATCAAGGTAAACAATGCCTAGTTTTCGTCTTTATTTACAAATAATAAGCTAAATATTGTGGCATGCATATGTATTCAGCCCCTTGAATGCTTTTTTTTTTTCAACAATGCTAAAGTGGGAATAGAATAGAATTTCTCCACTTACGGGACAATAAATACGGGACATTTCTGTTTCAATATTTCTTAAGAAATATTTACAGCTTGCAAATATTTATTAAGTATGAAATTATTCCCCACTCTGCTTTAAAAAAATATCTCCAGCTCAGTCAGATTTGATGGGGAAAATGTTGGGCCACAGATTCTCATCTGGCTTTTGGACATCATACTTGTCTGTTACATCTTTAAACAACTGTTTAATCCTTATTGAATTGTAGTTGTGGGATATCTTTAAGTAGATTCTGACCCACTCTTGTTTTTTTGTTTTGTTTTCCCTGCTGTCAGGCAGCTACAGTCTGATGAGGGGGGAACCACAGCTGGGAGGATGCAGCAGAAAGGGAACATCCAAATCATCGAGTGGGAGGACCTCGATAAAAAGAAATTCTACTCTTTTGGGATATTTATGACAATGGCCATTCGGGTCACTGTCTACCCAGCTACACTGATCCGCACACGGTTGCAGGTGCAGAAGGGAAAATCTCTCTACGGCGGGACCTTCGATGCCTTCTTCAAGATCCTTCGGACTGAGGGCGTCCGAGGCCTGTACCGCGGCTTTATGGTGAACACCTTCACAGTCGTCTCAGGCCAGGCGTACATAACCACCTACGAGCTGGTGAGGAAGTATGTCTCCCAGTACTCTGAGGCCAATACCGTCAAGTCGGTGGTGGCTGGGGGCTCTGCCTCCCTGGTCGCTCAAAGCATCACTGTGCCCATAGATGTTGTGTCCCAGCAGCTGATGATGCAGGGCCAGGGGGAGCACCTCACACGTTTCCGCCTCGGTTCCAACTCGGAGAACAGGAAGTCGGCCAGGTTTTTCGGGCAAACCAGGAACATTGTGTCTCAGATTTTTGCTGCGGATGGCTTCAGGGGTTTCTACAAGGGATATGTGGCTTCATTACTCACTTACATCCCAAACAGTGCCGCCTGGTGGCCTTTCTATCACTTTTATGCCGGTAAGCATTTTTACTTTCTATATGCTGATCAGGGGTTTTCAGAAACCTCAAAAGAGATGTTAAACTTTATGCTGTCTCCATTGTCAGGGCTTCTAAAGAGTGATAGTTGCGTCTAATAGCTTTGGGTCGGGTTTAGGTGATAAACTGTCTATTTGCGATGGTCAACAGAGCAACTCTCCATACTGGCTCCCAGTGACTGCCCCCACCTGGTCCTTCAGGCCGTGGCTGGACCTTTAGCTGCTGCAACTGCCTCGACTGTCACCAACCCCATGGATGTGGTCAGAGCCAGAGTACAGGTAGCTGTTACTGATCATTTGCCTGTCTGCATCTAATTTGTCGTTTTTGTGTGAACAGTGGCTGGAATTGCAGACACAGCAATTTTAGTTTCAGTTTTGAAAGCATGTTATATAATTTATTAAAATAGCATAGTTTGTCCCTGTAAAACCTTTGCTTGGTAAGTGAATTAAAAAAACAGACATATTGGTTTTGTAATGTGATGTACAACAAACCTTGATATAGGGAAAAACGGGAATATTTGTGATTTTGGTTTCACACAGTAGTTCATTCAACCATACAGATACAGTTGCATTCAAAAAAATATTGATGCAAGTAAACCAGCAGCTCTTCCATCACAAAAATGAATAATGAAAGCAGTTGCCTCATAAGAAGCGTTTCCTGATTTGATCGTGTGTGTTCAGGTTGAAGGGAGGACCTCGATCATTCAAACGTTCAGGGAGCTGATCAGAGAGGAGGGCTGCTGGGGACTGACCAAAGGACTGTCAGCCCGCATCATTTCATCAGCACCCACTGCCATCGTCATGGTGGTTGGCTATGAGACACTGAAAAAACTGAGCCTGCGACCAGAGCTGGTAGATTCAAGACACTGGTAAAAAAAAAAAAAAAAAAAAAAAAAAGGGGGAAAAAAAATTTGGGCCATGGGCCCTTTTTTTAACCCCCATGTTGACTTCCTGAATTTGTTTCAAGAAGAAAACGATGTCAGAACGTTATAGCGTTGATGATGTTATGAGTTAGTTACCTGTAAAGACGAAGGGTTCAGTTTGTGATGCAGCTGAACAAGTTTGTTTCCGTTTGACGTCAACACCATGACGGCAGTAGAAAAACATATTTTTATGTTCAGCCCTCATCAACGAGATGAACTGATCTTTGTGTGACTATTCTCTTGTTTGTGTTGTCCTCCTGAAGCAAAGAGCTGATTTTCACTAAAGTTCAGCTCAGAAAGTCAAACTACCGACTGCAGCAACTAACTTTTTCTTTGTTTTTTGCCAAACTGTTTTTTAATTGCCTCTTTTTAAAAGGCAATTAAATTAATCTTTGTTTTTATTTCATCTCTGTTGCATATACAAGTACACTATTTTATGAGTATTTTTCAGGAATATTATCCTGATGTTGATCATTCTGGGTTTATAATTTCTGTCTTTATTGTACAGGAAGGTTTGTGTCATTGAAATCTTTTGCTTGTTAAAACTGTCCAAGCAACTCTGAGTGAACACCATTACCCTTTTGTGAAATATTTGAGTGCAATAACGTTTTGTCCTTTTCAGTACAAAATGTGTGGATTGACATATCTTAGAGGAACTAATTTTACCCAATTTATTTTCATTTTGGGGTGATAACCACAGAGCTTTTAATGTCAATGTCATTTTGCTGTATTTTGCTTCTTATTTTGTGAAACTATTGTGGTTCAATGCTGTTTATGCAGTTTCCTGCTCTTGTATGAATGTCCTCATTGAGGAAAAATTTGTTGCAGTTTAGAAGAGAGATTATATTTTAAATGGTCCATTTAATTTGTAGAAATGATCCTATTTTTATGCGTAACATAAATTAGATGCTGTTGAAAAGGAGTGAGAGTAAGAGCAGGTTTTAGTGTGACTGGCAGACTGTTGCAGAAACTTTTTTTAATTGAAGCCAGAACTGCACAGGCTTTATTTCTTTATATCCAGACTTGTTGAGATTCTGTGAACTACTGAGAAGATGGTACTGCAACTTGCCGATCTCCAGTCAAATGATACTAACTTTCAATTTTGAGTGTTTTGTTTTGTTTTTGCACAGCTCCCAGTATCACTGAAAGTGTTTTTCATTTTTTGTGATTGACCAACTGTTGTTGATGCCTCTCTGCTCTAAAATACATGTGGTTTTAAACAACATTTCTGGTCTCTTATTATTACCATCTGACTAGTAAACATGTTTTCAGCTGGATGTCGCTGCTGAACTCTGTACTGAATGCAAATGCAGATCCTGGTAAACTTTTACCTGCAGTAAATTATTAAATATAAGTTTGAAATATTTATAACTAACATAATCAATGACTAAAACTGGCAAAAGATTATAAAATGACGTAATATAGTTATGCCACCTCTAACACTTTTAGGTGAATTTCATAAAGGCCTTCAGACTTAAAATATTGAAAAAACATTGGCTACGATTAAAATAGTTTTCTTCTCCTACCCAAGTTTAACAAGCTATTAGTCAGATTATCTGCATGGATTGTTCAATTCAGAATATATTTTTTTAACTATTCAGTTTAGAAGCTCACCTGTACAATACGAACAGTAACACATTTGTACACATTGCATATTATAGAACAGCCATTCACAGACAAAAAAGTTTATAACCAAGGGCCCCTTGTTTTTTTTTTTTTTTGTTAGTGGATCAAACTGGCTCAGAGATGTGATCTCATCCGTAAGGTGAGACGGTGTTTCTCAAACTTTGGCTGATCATCTGAGAGCCTCTGATCTAAAGAAAAACTGAAATCTAAAAAAATAAATCTAAAGTTGAAATCATTGCTGCCTCATACAGTTGTACTTTTCTTTACATAGCTTATCCAACTGGGTCAAGGAGTGAAATTAAGGTTTTACAAGTAAGATACTGGGTCCTGCTAAGAACTCCCCAGAACCTCATATTTATTTTAAAATTTAAGTGTTTCTTTAAATTCGGAACTTGTTGACCTTCAATAATCTTAAAGAAATAGTGGAAATAGCCTTTGTTTGATATAAGATATCCTGCATATTTTAGAGGAAAGTCAATAATGTTCCTTCCTATTCTGTCCTCAGGGGGGTTTCTGATAAGGTCTGAGGGGAAACATCAGATTGTGCCACCGTGTTGTTAATGTGTTTTTCTGATGTGAGCATAACCGTGGGGCGACCATACATCTTATGAAAAGTGACTCCCTGACACCAAAGGTCGCATCTCATTATGCTGGTTAGAAATTGAAATGAAAGCATCTGCAGAAGATTTTAAACTGTTTAACTGAATGGATGTGGCACTTGAAATGACATATATTATTTTAACCTGCAGTTTAAATCTGCAGTTCTTACTCTTTGTTTTACACATTTTCTAAAATTAGTCAATATTTTAGTCTTTAAATACTTCTTAGCTAAAATGTAACGCCATCTGTATATGATTCTGAAATACTCCTATTGTTGCATTTATAATGCCTTTACTTCACTGTTCTCTAAAGCTAAACTGCTCAAGACTTATAAATCAAGAAAAGTAATGTTCTTACAAAACTTTCATTAACTTCCCAACAGAGGGCAGCAGACTTCACTTTCACGGCTCTATAATTTTCTCCAAGTTTCACTTAATATTTTTTTAACAATCCCCTTTTCATTCAAATGTCCTCTTTTGGAAATAAAACCACCCAGAGACCGGCAGACAAATCCACAGATGAATGAAGCAAACAGGGAGGCCCTCTTTGAGGCGCGCTGACAGTTCCTGGTGGGATGACAGAGTGCCCCCCCTTCTCTGCTCTGTGCCTTAATTATCAGGCCATGTCTGGGAGGCACTTTGTCAAAAAGATTGATGAGGGACTGTCAGAAAGGGAACAAATCTGACTTGGCCAGGGTTAGAGGAAGGGCCCCTCATTCTCATGGGATGTAAAGGTGGCTGTGCAAGAGATCGGCCCCAAAATGATCGAAAAGAAGGAGAGCAATGTGAAGAGTGTTTAGAGATTTAGGAAGCTCCAGAGACCCAACAGATTTTAAAAGGAGGGGTTTTTATTTATGTTGGTGTCTAATTGTTATAGTCCCGAGGAAGAATGCACATAAAATCTGTCTGCATTAGATACAAGTTCCACATAAATGTAAATCTTGAAGCCTTTTATTCGCATTACAGCAGCTTTAGTTGCATTGAAATGTGACTTTTTACTGTAACCATAAAGTAGATTAACTAGACCGTTGCACATAGAGCAGAGAGATAGAAAACCTGTTTAGGAGAGAAAAGGAATCTAATAAAAGGGAATCTAGCCATAGAAAATAAATGTTTTAATGATAATGGTCAACAACCTTCTGTTGTTGCCTGCAGTGGGGCTTTACATGGAAAGTTATCAGTATTTTTTTTTTATGCGCATTCCTTGAAAAGGTGATCAGTTAAAATCTTAATTGACGTAGATGGAGGAGAGGAAGGTTATTTAGCCTCCTCTCGTCCAGAAACTGAAGAGCATTAATTCAAGAAACAGAACAGTATCAATCTTCCTGAGTGAAACACTTCAGTTCCGTTTCCACAAACATCTTTATTTTATACAGTGAAGAATAAATAAAGGAAAACAAAAAGAATGATCAAGTTCCAACAAGACACACAACACAGAGCTGATATGTATATTATTATTATTTGTTAGATAAGTCAATTCAAGAAAATAATGGATAATGCAGAGGCAGTAGATTTCATAAAGCCATAGAAATTTGTCGACATTTTCCTCTTTTGCGTCTCAAAGCTACCCTCAAACAATCCCTAATTCTTTTTAAAGGTGGAGCATTTATTCTTCATAAAAGTAAGTAAATATGGTTTGCTGACATCTTCACTCTGCCAATTTGTAAAATGAAGCAGTCAGTCTGGCTGTGGGTGAAGATCACCGACAGCCTCCACTGTAAGTTTAAATAATCATCAGTGTCTCTATTAATAACCACCTAATTCAAACATGACAAAAGTTCATTGGTTTAGGAAATAATGTTGACACATTGATGTTTTTGAGGGTGGAGTTCTTTAAGATGAAAGTTGTGAAAGGGTGTCTGCAACATAAATATGAGGAATGTGTATAAAAACAATATTCAGCTTTCAGGTGTTGGAAATATCATCCATGTAGTAAAAGGATAGTTCAGAAATTTTTTAAATGATGCTAATAGGAAGTTACTGCAGTGCTGTAAATAAGTATCACATTACAATTTTTTTGTTGTTACGTTTAAATGTTTTAATTCTTCAAACAAATTTACACTTAAAAGGTTAAGGGAGTAAATATAAAATGGAAATGGAAATTATTTCATTTGACTGATAAAAGCTAATCAAAACTACTGACTACTTGTCAAAAATACAAGTGATTCCCTTTCTAAGCCATGATCACCTGTAAAGCCGCTGTCTGACAACGTGAAATAGGCTAATAGACCTCATAAGCCGATGTCTAAAGAAATTCAAGAATAGATGAAAAGCAAAGTCATTCACATCTGTCAGTCTGGAAAATGTTGCAAATGCTGTTTCCAAGGCTGCAGGACTCCAGTGAACCACAAAGAGAGCCATAACCCAAAAATGAAGAAAACATGGATCAGTGGTGAACCTTCCCAGGACTGCCTGTCCTTCCAAAATCACTCCCAAGAGCCCATGGACACATCCATGGGCTCTTGGATGACAACCTGGGTCGCAAAAGAACCCAGAACGTCTAAAGCTCTGCAGTCAAAGCTTTGCTCTGTTAAGATCAGCATTTGTCAATAAACAATAAGAAAGAGACTGGGCAAAATGAATGAGAGAGTTTGAAATCCAAAACTAGAGGTGGGCAGATCCATCCAAAATATTGATAGTATCAATACCAAGTCAGTATCAGTATAAGATTTATACTTGCATGCTAACCTTGATACTTTAGTTTCAGATTCCATGTTGAAATTGTATTTTATTTTTGAAGTTTCTCAACACTACCCCCAAATGTTCTTTTTGTTTGAATTTGCTCTCAAATTATAATATTTTGCACTTTTTTTTTGTTGAGGAAGAATGTGCAAGAATCATGTAAATAAGTATTTGGTAGATTATATAAACCTTGTCCAAATTCTGTCCAAGGTTTGAACAAAGTATGGGAAAATCACAAACAAGTTTAAAGATCAGACACTTGACAACAAACTTAAACAGTATTGGTATCGGTTTTGGAATCGGTCTATACAGGCTGTGTATTTACTTGGTATCAGGTTGATACCAAAACCATTACTGACCAATACAAACATAAAGGTCTGTCTCATGTTTGCCAACAGAACTTCTTGCTGATCTTAAGACCTTTTGGTAAATTTGAAGAAACAAAAGTGGAATTCTTAGAACTGTGTTAGTTTTCCACCAATTATAACATGACACACACCTTGTTGTATCATGTTATAAAACGAACACCATTTCAGTGAAAGAAAGAAAACACAGCAGTGGTAGTGTGATGGTTTGGGTCTACTTTACAGTAATTGATGAAACCTTTAATATTTTCTCTCACAGGTTTGACATTAAACTGATTGGTTATGAATGAATACTAAATACTAACCAATGTGGCTGAATTAAAACCAATTCTGAAAAGAAATGCGAGCCAAAATCTCCTCTTAGTATTGTCAAAACTCTCTGTTATGACTCAGTTTTGGTTGCCTAAAGTTGGTTTGGACACTTTTTCTTCCATAACAATAATAACATTTGAAATCTGCGTTATGTTTCTACTCTGGTTATCTTTGTCGGATACTAAATACATGTTTTTGTTTGTTTAATGATGAACTTCCAAGCACGATTTTCAAACTTTAACAATCACAAGTTAGTTGTCAGCTGAAGTAAAGTCTATGTACAGAAAAGGATCAAGGATTCAAGAGAAAGACTCTGGTTTAAATAACCGATAAATGCAACAATCTGCAAACATTAAAAGCTCTCACAGAGCAAACTACCAGCAAAGTGTCCAACTGTCTGTAAGTACACGTCTGTGTGTGTGTTGAGAGGAAGCAGAGGTGGAGGCAGGGTGGAGGGGTTTGGTTTGATGTGTTGGATCATTACGCCCTGGGAGGAGAGAGGGAGGGAGAGGAGAGATGGATGGATGGAGAGAAATAGCCTAAAGAAAAGCAGCTGAGGAGTCAAAGGACAGGAGGAATCGGCCGGCACACAGCAGGACGAGAGAAATGGCAAATTTTTCAGGCACCTGGAAAATGAAGAGCAGCGAGAATTTTGACGAGTTACTCAAAGCTCTGGGTGAGTGTGTTTAATGTTTTCTTTCATGTTTTTGTGTTTTAAGATGGATATGAAAAAAAAAAAACTGTAGCAAGCTTTGTTTGCTCAGTGATTAAACTGGAGAGATGAACTATTTACAGATTAAAGCTTTAATACAAGAAGTTTTTGCTGTATCAAAAATAAACTGTGCACATAAATGTTCTTTAGTATTTTACTTTTAACTCAAAATTCAAGATTTTTGTCACAATTAAATTATATTCTGAATAAAATCCGCAAGAAGCGAGACTCTGCCTGAAAAAATTTTAGAATGTTTTTGGTGTATGCATTAGTGGAAGTGAACTCTCGGAAAAAGTGGGAACGGACCAAAGCGGTCTCACATCTCGCTCCGTGTCTCCCTGACAGAGGGTTAATAGTTTTTCCTCCCATTTGGAGGACAGAATTTATCACAATCTACAGGAGAGTCAAACAAAGTCGACAGCATCAACATTCCTCCCTCTCATCACCTTGTGCTGTGATCTCCACATCTGCAGCATCTGCTGATGTTAATCTTACATGCAGCTGCTGATGGATCCTTTTTACCTTTCAAAAACAATAAAAAGATTAACTGAAAGTGATAGATTTTACTTTGGCATGGCTGCCTAAAACATGAAAGCTAATACAGGGGTAACGTTCCAGTTATTATGACTCAAAGGCAGCTCTAAGCAGGCAGGGTTTTAGCCCTGATTTAAAGAATATCAATGTTTTGGCTGCTTTGCAGTTTTCTGGAAGTTTGTTCCAGATTAGTGGAGAATTAAAACTGAATGAACTCATATTTTTTTCACCAGAGTTATAAAAGAAGAAGGCTTGAACTGAATTTTGTGTCTGAATCTCAGGCGTGAACGCCATGCTGAGGAAGGTTGCAGGGGCGGCTGCATCCAAACCCCATGTGGAGATAAAGCAGAGCGGTGACCACTTCTACATCAAGACCTCCACCACCGTACGCACCACGGAGATCAACTTCGTCGTAGGCGAGGAGTTCAATGAGGAGACGGTGGATGGCAGAAAGTGTAAGGTAAGTCAAAAACCAACTGGTGGCAAATCTAAACGGGCACCAACAGAAGTAAAAACTCACAAAAACGTATAAAAAATATAGGGTATGAAACTAAAATCTGCCCCTGAATACATCAAACATTAGTTTCCTTATTAGACTTTACAATAGAGCCACATTGAACTGGCAACGTTCAGATGCCTGGTAGTTGATTTTACTGCAGACAGGTGAAGCTGAAGGTGAAATTTCAGTAAAACGTCTTGAACTGAATATCTTCTGCAGAGTTTGGCCACGTGGGAGACGGAAAACAAGATTTACTGCAAACAGACTCTGCTGAGTGGGAACGGTCCAAAAACCTTCTGGAGCCGAGAACTCAAAGGGGAGGAACTCATTTTGGTAAGAGTTTACTTCAGATAGCAAAATGGTGAGAAAAAAAAACAAAAAAAAAACAAGAAAGGATCTGGTGTTTCAGGCAGTGATTACACTTTGAACTCTTCAGAATTGTCTCATTTATATAAAGCTCTTTTTGTTTGCTTTTCCTAATCTGCGGTTTTCAAACACACTCATCTTCTTAGTGATGGATTTCGACCAGAGTCTTAGACCAGATGTTTGGATGCTTCACAAAGTGTCAGACTTGGAAATGGCTGCCTTTATTCACAGCGGGACACAAAGCACAGGGTTTGGAAAAGGGAACGGTGTGCAGATTGTAGCAGGGGGAGATCATCATGTATTTTTATGTGATGAAATATGCAGCAATGCAGAAGATGTTGTCTTTGATCAGGTCCAAAAGCAGAAGTATTGGTTAGGGGTTGTTGTTGTGATACGATTCACCTACCTAATCGTTAGTAATCACAGTGACCTCCTACAAATCCTTTTTAGCTGTAGCTGCATAGTCTCGCACTACTAACTGTAGCAAATACCAACTTTAACTGTTTAAAACAAAAGAAAACATTTTTTATAAGTTTATAAATGTTTTCTACAAAATCACCGGCAGCACACCTGTTTGTACTGCTAATGACTCCAACCAAAAAGAAATTAATAAGTGTTATTGAGGGAGTTGGGAATTTAGTAGATCTATAAATGCATATTTTAAATGCTCATGTCATTTAAGTTCGACAGATGTGTGTTGTTCTTCATAAGTAATATGATACCAGCTGCAAATGGCTTCATTTAACTTAAAAATATAACATGTCCAAAACGTATGAGTTCATTCAGGTAATCCAACACAAAAGTGAAATACCTGTCCTAAATCATTACAACCTGTGTGATAGTTTTTGGGTGTTCATTTCTCATAACTTTGATGATTATGGCTTTCAGGTAATAAACACCCAAACATGAGTTTCTGAGAAAATTAGAATATTACATAAAACCAATAAAAAAATAGATTTTTTTTTTCCCACACAGAAATGCCATGTTATGCCTTTGCTAGATGGCTAACTTAACAGTTGTATAACCGACAGTCAATGATATCTTCCATGAGGAGAGTAACAAAACATCACTACCAAAGACGCTTAGCTGAATCCAAGCACTTTAATGGAAAATTCAGTGGAAGGTAAAGTCTTTAATTGAGGATGTAATCTGGGTTATAACTGTTGCATTTCCTGTGATAAGACACTCCTGAATGAGAAACAATGTCAGAACCTTTAATATCGTCTTTTCAGAGGCAAAGTTTCTTTCATTTGTAGATGAGCAAAAAAATGAGACTAGTTTGATGTCCACGGTGAAGTTTCCAGTCATTGATGATTGGTGATTTTATGTCACCTTTTTGAATTGGTCTGCTGTGTTTCTCAAGTCCCCAACAGAACAGTCATCTATCAGGGAATTAATGAGAGCTTCATCTTTTCATTTTCATCACAAGCTTTATGGAAATGTTTGTATTTTCCTGTGGGAAAATGCGATCAATACCTGACCAAAAGTATCAATACCTGCTTAAGACCATGATGTCACTGTGTTTGACTGGTCTGCATACTGGCTTGACATAAACCCTGCCTAAATCTCTGATCAACAACTGAGCATGGGTATTCAGTATGTGGATTTATCTTTCAGCAGCACATTCCAGTACTTAAAATTATATTTTATTGATTTTATCTACTATTTTAACTTGCATTTTCATTTTCTGAGTGCAATAGAGGTCAAAGGGAGCAAAAATAAACACTAGAAATGTATCAGTATGAATGTAGTGAATGAACATCAAACTAAAACAATGGGACTGTTTTTTTTTTTTTTTTTGTTTGTTTTTTGGATTCTAACAATCAGATTTCCCTGCAAATGTATCTTTACAAAAAGATACATTTTAGTTCTTTCCAAATTACAGAGGAAGTTTTATGTAAAGAAAAATGTGAAGGAAACAACTGTGAGAAGTGAAAAGAAGTTCATTCATTAACAAAAACCATGTCAGTTCCAGGAAGTGTTTTGAAATCTCACAGCAAATTGAAAATGCCATTCATCTATCCTTTCCCCATCTCAGATTGTTCATAAACATTCCTTCATAAGCAAGGCATGTGTTAACAGAGCTTTATGATTTTATTTCCAAGGAAAACAAAAACCATTCAGTTTTCTCATGACTTCTATAAAGAAGCACTTTGAAAAGATTGAAAGTCTCGCAGACATATGTTTGTTGTTGCATTCCTCCTATCATTTCATGGCCTTGGATCCATCAGAAACACGTCTGCTTCCAGATCCCGCCTTAAAAAAAGATCTTGTGAGAAACGTATAAACATCTGTTCTGGGTTTACCGACCAGATGGACATGAAAAAAAAAAAAAAAAAAACACACTAAAGCGAGACAGAAAAGGCTGTCTGATTTGGCATGGATGGAGATCTCTGTGTGGACACTGACTCACCTCTGCAGAGAGGCAATCAGGGAAACATTTGGGAGAGGCAGCAATTTGGACTGAATGTAGGTTTTCAGATGTGACAGAAAGATTTCTTCTCTCTAAATGTGTTTTTGTTTAAGACAAGGGTGTGTTTGTCTGTTCATGTTGGAGTGATAGACTATAATCTGATAGGCATGTTGGAATTGAATCGTTTGGGGGAGAGGGAAAGAAAATAATTTCACCATAATAAGAGGACCACAAATGTAAGAACAGAGGCCAGACAGATTCCCTGAACGTAGGAAGGTTGGGTGTGCAGGCTCGGATGGTTAAAATAATTTAAAAAAATAATAATTACTCTCATTTTAATTACCTAAATAAACTACGAAATGCCAGTTTCAACGCAGAATAATTTGGATGTTTTGTAGGTGTTTAAGGTGGAAACAGTCAATTTCCTAAATACAAAACAGTGAAAAGGACAAAAAAAAATAAAATAAAATAAAAAAACAGGGGTTAAGGTGTAACCTGATATATTTCAATATGAATTTATATGAAGGCATACAAATTGCAAGCTATTATACTTCAGACTTTTTGAGTTCTTGCAGAAACTCATAAAAAGAAAGGAGGATAAACAAATCAAAAACTATGCTTTCATTTTCTTTAATGATTCTGTTTGTGTTGAAAAAAAAAGAATTTATAAGTCAGATATTATAAATCAGAATTGGAATTTCCAAAGATTGGAAAAGCCACAGCATTGTAGCTGCCATATGAAGCACATAAAAATGATGTTTGTGTATTCTTGGACAAATAGTCATTCTGCAAACCACTTAGATCAACATCAGCTTTCAAATGAACAACTCATAAAAGAAGCTGGCTATTAAAAAGAACTTTCTTCAAGGTTTAAATACTCTTTGTTGCAAGCGCAACTAAAGAGTAAAAATATGAAATGGACTTAAAATGGCACAACCAGCCATTTGATTTCTGGAAAAAAAATGAACAAGCATCAGGGTTCAGTTAAGATTGGCGTTCAACAGAGCAGCAATAAATTTCTATTATTTATTATTCTTTGAATTGAACAGAATTGTGTGGAAGCCAGATCTAAATCTTGGGAGACTTTTTTTTTCCCCCTGCAGGAAAGAGAGCAGATCCGTTAGATTAATCTCCGACTCTAAACCAGACACAGATCAAATGCAATTATCAGTGGCAGCAAAATTATTTAGACCAAAATGTACATTTTTAGAGTTATCATTCTAGCAAAAACTGTCATTCTACCACTGTAGAAAAAGCATTGGTTTTGTCAGCTGATGGTGACATAATGGTTTCCACTCAGAGAGGTCGCTGCCTGATGAACAAAATGACCATTGAAGGGATTCCTGAGGGGGGAAAGGGGAAACTAGTCTTTTCTATGCAAGCAACTTTGCATGCATTTTGCTCATATTTTGAGTTCAAATGTATTCTGAATTAAATTATCTGAAGAACTAAAACAAAATAATCCCCTTTATCTATTTAATAGGAAGCCAGGTGAATCTGGCCTGAATGAGGGGATGCAGCGCTGCATTCTCCTCACTGATGAATGGCGCTAATGAACCCTGATGTTACCTCCAGTCAATGACATCACACCCCTCTGCCAGATGGAGTTGTCACGGCTCAATTAAATCCCCCTCCAACCGTTCTCCCCCACCCCCCATCCTCCCTCTCCGCACCGCCTGGGGTAATGACACGTACTGTTGCTCTAAGCCTTTTTCTGCAACACTCCCTAAGAAGCCCATAAATCTCTGGCGCTCCGCTGTTTCACTTGTTTTACTCCAGACAACAAAACATGTGATGAAGAATGCAAACCTGACAGCTGCCGTGCTTAATTAAAGTCGATTTAAATAACAAAGGCCTCTGCTACTGTCTGCCTGTGTGTTGGAGGACAGGTTTTAAAAAGAGCTTTGTCCATTATGGAAATTTCAGGATCGAACCTGTAAATTAACCAACAACAGGGGAGCAGCAGAGTTTAAAAATGCGGCTCAACTTTTTGAACTGATCTGATAAATGTGTTTTGATGGTGAGGAGATTTAAGATCAGGAATGGATGAATATATCACAGTTGGACATGTTGACCGAAATAAAACATTTTCTTTCTTAGCAGGAGGTTTTGACAATAAAACATCCCACATGATGGAAACGCTTTGGGTGTGGTGCTGTGAAGAATCGGCTCATTTACCCATTTTTATTATGCCTGTCTGACATAAAAAAAAGAAAAAGAAATGGTTTTAAATTATACACAGCAAAAACACAACACTCTTACCATGTATTTTTTTTTTTACTAAGTACTAGTTCCACTGCCACAGTTACATCACATATAACTGACCAACCTGAAGCAGATCCTCAGCTAAGTCTTCATATCAGCTCTAGTCTGATCCATTAAAAGAGGAGTTTTGTTTTTTCCTCTGGTTATTCCTGACTTTGGTTTCCTCCAAAAAGTATGAGATCCTTTTATCAGAACAGCATAACATGTCCCACATTTCTTTATTTTCCCCTCTGTTTAACTTTTTCCATCAAGCAAGTTGTTCTTTTTTTATTAGATTTTTCAGAGAGGGATAGACAGTCATTAGCATTTATGTTTGCTGTCTTCACCCTTAAATAAGGTTAAATTGTTCTACAGCTCATACATTTTTCCTAAAAACACTGATCTGGTTAGGAGATGTAGGACTGCTATTATTCTGGACCACAGCTGTTCTTATCTATGCTGATGGGTGCTTGTTAAAGGAATCCTGACAAACAAATATCAATTTACTGTGAAAATCATCTGTTTTACCTTCAAACTGGTTGTTCTGACTTGAAGGGAAATGTTTGGGAGAACTACTTTGAAGCACATGTAATGTCTTCCAAATTGAATAAGAATAAAGTTCCTAAAGATAAACAAAGGATATATCTAGGAAAGATGATAAAGTTGTTGTTCATTTTCCTTCCTCTCTCATTTCCTTTCAGATCTTTGGAGCAGACGATGTGATCTGTACGCGGATCTACGTACGAGCTCAGTAGACATCTCCGTTCCCCCAAATTAACTCACAACTGACACCCTGTTGATGTCTGAAATTTAGCGCCTTGCAAAAGTATATATAAACCACCAACTTTCTTTTTGACATTTTTTTGACTACAAGAAAAACTGACATTTTTGTGCTTGCGGATAATTGGGTAGTTAAAACAATACCAACTTTTCCAGTCTACAGAGTATTTTTGCCCTGTCTACATAGCATCCTCCAACATGACGATGCCATGTTTAACATAGTATTTAATTTGCTTAGTTTAGGTTCACGTGTCACATTTTGCATGAGGTATCATCTGTTCAGAGCACCTTCCTCTCTTCTGCCGTCTCCAACATGGCCTGTGGCAAACTGCTTTGGTTTCAACAACGGTTTTCGTCTCGCTGCTCTTCAGTGAAGGTCATATTCTTAGAGTGAACACCAAACAGATTGCAGTGCTGACAGATTCCCACACCTGAGCTGATCCTGTCTGGGTAGATCTGCAACTGTGCCGCTTTCCATTTTCAGATAATAGATCAAACGGTGCTCAATTTGATCTTCAAAATTTGGGTTTTCATTTCAGAAGCCAAGTCTACTTTTTCTACTACTAACCTGTCTTTAGCTTTATCCCTGATGTCTCTGGTTAGTATATCGTTTTTGAAAATAACACCCTCCCCTTGCTGTCACAAAACAATGTTAAAATTATACCCTTATCCCACCTTGAAGTGTTTTCTTGAAAGAGGCTAAAGAGGTTTGTGGCCATAATGTGACAAAATGTAAAATAGTTCAAGGAGTATGGATACTTTTGCAAGGCACTTTAACCTTGATGGTGTGCTGCATTTTTGTATAGCAACGTAAATTAGAAAGTTGATTTTTACTTTTTCTTGTGCATAATTTTGTGGTTTTGCTTTTTCTTCCCCTCCCCCCACAACAAAGGCAGAACTACCTGTTCTAATCTGAATAAAAATGCTGAACCCTCCATCCATTCTTCTGTACACACATATCCAATGGCGATGAAGAGAGTCTTTTAGGGCAGTTTTGGGTCGTCATATTTGGACTACAAGACTAAGTCGGAGTATCCAAGGGGAATCCCGACAAGAACATGGAGAAAGAGCTAAACCAAGATAAACAGTGCCACTAAAAACCAAGGCAAACGAGTTTCTGTCTACTCAAAGGATATTTTAATGGCAAACACCATACTAACACTCATGTACAACATCATATAAGTCAAGAGAAGTGACACATTAAAACAAGGTACAAACAATCTCTGTATGTACAATCGGCTCCCCCGGGACTTCCTCTGTAATTCTGTAACAAACACGGCAAATAGAAAAATAAAAACCCAGGTATTAAACTATTTCAAGATTGTCTGCAGCTGGTTATATTACTGACCGCTGCCTTTAGTGAACCTTCAGGAAAACAGACTGTCTAGGAAGTGATGCCTATGTTCATCTTAACTTCTCTGTGTCCCATGTAACATTTCATGTGTGAAATTAAATGATATTCTGTTGCACACATGTACAGTTTTAATGTGAGACTCTCACATTCCAGCATTAAATATGAAGGATTTCTCTCTTCCATCTAATCTCATCTAAAATATCAAAAACATTTCCAATTTTATTAAAAGGCAAAAAAAGGGCCAAAAAATGTCTTTTCAATGGGCATTCAATATCCACGTTTGTATTCCAGCAAGAAATACAGGTTAGCTTTAATAAACTATGACTCAAGAAATTATTGCTTGTATTTTTTTTATCCTTAAACTGTACACAATTCATAACGTTGACATTTACCCAAAGAGCTGTTGTTGACGGCAGACTATGAAAGGTAAAACTGAGTCCAGTTTTTTAGCGATCGTCTTGAGATATCACTGACCCTCCTGCACGGATTGTAAATATTTTTGAAAAGTTCATTAACAAGAAAAAGTTTGAAGTGCTGTTCAGACTCAGCTACATTCAATCATCCTAAAACTGTTGTCCTAAAAACCGACAATAGAAATGCACATAAAAGGGATCCAATTAAGTTATAAATGTGTAATTTTTCTCTCCATCTTTTTTTTTTTTTTTTTTTACTAAACAAAAACACTTTGGGAAGATGTTCAGCACACTAAAATTGAAAAAAAAAAAAAGGTTTGCAGATAACCTTTGGTAAAAAAAACAGTAAAATTTTGCCTTTTCTTGATAAAAGTCTTTGCATCTTCTGGCTAAATGTTGACACTCTATATATATTTTTATAAACTGTATGCTACACACCAATGACACCTGATAAAAAAAAAATCTAATTATAAACAACATATTTACAAGAAACATTTTTGGGCAATTATAAATTACTGTTCTTGACACACAGAGCTGACATGGTACTAATGTCGACCAGGTGCCAGAAATGTTGAATACATATTTTTTATACTGTATGTATAATGCATCGTTTTGCCTTCACCCCCAACTGGAAACATTCAAAGCCTAAAGAGGTTTACAGCCGGAGTTATGAACGGTTATGAACAGTTTTATCCTTCAGTTGTTTAGTTTTGGGGATGAGAATCTTAATTCAACTTTAGCTCAGATGAGAGCGAGAGAGCCGCTTCCTGTGTTTTTTTATCGAACATGTTAGCACTCTGATAGGTGGCTTTTTCCAATAAATTTGTTGCAGGATTTGCAGCAAAAATCTTGAACTAGAAAACAAACAAGTAAAAACCAATATCGTTTGGCAGCAGAGTCCAGTTTTGGAAGGTTGGAGAAAAAACAACAATTCACCTCTGGCAGTTTTGACATGTGCAGGCATTTAAGCTGTTTGAACTACAGTGTCCTGTACTGCACCCGGTACTTGTTGATGTTGAGATAGTGGAGAACTTCAGGGCTGCAGGTGGTGGTGCATGACAACAGTCCCTCTTCCGCATCTCCCATTAGCCATTTGTGAGTATTGGTGGCCATTTCAGGCGTCACGTGCTTCTGGGCCCAGAAGTCCAGCCAGGTCTGGAAGCGGCCGTGCAGATGTGTGTTCACCCGCTGGTGGGACTAAAGCCACACAAAAAAAGAGGGGGAGAAAAAAAAAAAAGCAAAAAGTACAGAAATTAGTTGAGAAATCGTCCAGTGACTAATTGGCCAATTTTCCACTTGATCTGCCCTGATCATCCAGGCTGCAACTGAAAATCTGTTTGTTTTTTAAAATCTGATCCTTGAACGAATCACAACCAGGAATAAACATAATTAACAATCAAACATGCATCGGCAGCACCAGACACATGTCTGATGCAACTTAATTATTTACTATAAAACAACACACACTGGCAGTGTTAGGGTTCAGCAGCCAGCGTTCCTTTTTGAACCTGAACTATTCAGAGGCATCAGAGCTCCTCATAAAACCCAGGCTGGAAACAAAAAGGGTCAGTCCTGCCTCAGCACACTTCATGCATCTGATTTGTGTTAAAGACATCAACTGAGTTCATGAGTTCCCTTGAAAATATTAAGTTGAACACAGCTGTTATTTATTCTGAAAAAAATCTTGAAGCAAAGAAAACTTTTATTCTGAAGTCTGGAGAAACAATTTGTGAACTATAATCTGTCTTGTGAAAGACTAAAAGTATGCAAAACACAGTCTACCAGTCTAGTTCCAGTGCTACCTTAGAGGAGTCGCTATGCCCAGTTCTTAACTGTATGTGTTTTGTACATTTTTGGCTTAATTACAAGTTATAATTTTGCAAGCTGATGGAAAATGACAAAAAACCCAGTAATTTTCATAATTTCTGTTCATCCGTAAAACTCACAAACCTTTTTCTCTCTCACAGAATCCCCATCTTATTGACCTAAACATATATAATTATTATTTTTGATCCATGTTTTTGGATCAAAAACACACTCACTGCTCTGAGTGTGTTGTTCTTTCAGAAAATTGCCTTTTTTGAATGTAATGATTAATAAATTTTCTCGATAATCAATTCTTCGCAATTAAATCGACTAATCACTTCTGCCCTAATGTAAAATCCATTCAGAAAGACTGAACAACTGTGTTCCAACTAAGAACTTTCTTGCTAAAAGACAACAGTGGTGATCTTATAAAAAACTAATTAGCTACAAATGAGTTTAAGACACACAAAGTCAATTGAGAATTAGCAGCACCACCTTGCTGTTAAAGGATCCGACAGCAATTAGCAACCGAGTGTAAACAATGATTACATTAATGATTATATTTAATTTAGTAGAAAAAAGAGAAAAGCTGCCTGTTCTCACCTGATGAGCTCTTGAAAGCGCAGTGTGTCTGTACATGTAGTCCTCTGACTTGCAGACGTAAACCATTTTGTAGGAGTTTAATTTGAACATGCACTCCATCTTCAGCTCACTGCTGCCATCCTGTGACTTGTCAGAGGAGCCTTTAGTGATGCGTTCTTGCTGCAGCTGCTCCCATCCTCTCTGGCATTTCCGTATCCGTCTCAGATTCCTTAACAGGAAAATACAAAAAACAATATTAGATTATATAAACAGACAGAATAGAGTAAAAAAAAAAATACTCTGAAATCTGTATCATACAAATTGATGAGTACAATTCTTTAAATCACTTTTTTTATATGTTGTTGACACAATATGCAGGCAAAAAAAAAAAATCATATTTTAGAAAACATAATTTTTCCAACCAACGCATTCCAACTCACCAAGTATCAGCTTTAATTTTTAGGGAGTCAAATCATTCGAGGGAAATGTGGATCTAAAGGAGCAGCAGAAGCACGAGTCGTAATAATTCTGCACTGTGCTCTTACTTTTTTGCACAGACATTGTTCAGATTTAAAAAATAAAATAAAAAAAAACTAAACAAGTGTTGATTGATCCCGTTTTTGTGCAGGAGCCAAAACAAATGCAATTATTCATCCCACTGGAATCAAGGTTTTAAATGTGTACTTACCGCTGAGGGGATAGATGAGTGAGGACGGAAGCCGTGAAGCATTTTTTTGCATTCAGGGCTCCACTTAAAAGACATGACAGTGAGGCCAATTTATAAAATAAACTGTTGAAGAGAAACACTAGAAAACTGCTGCCTGACATATACATATCTGAAATATGTATTGAGAAGGATGAAACGTGACGATGGAAACAGAACTTTAGGAATTTCCCTCCCATTGGGAATCTATGCAATGACTTATTTCTTTAATCAAATATGCTAGCAATCCCCTCCACATTTGATGGTACGGAGGAAAAGAAAAAAGATGGCTCCGATGAAAAATTATAGCCAAGAACCAGTGAGTTGAGAAAAAAACACAACAGTGAGTGATTTTTTTGTGCTCAAAAGAATGAAAAACAGCAGAAATAACAGATTTCAGAGGCAACATTCCATCTTTCTAGCGTCAGGAAAGAAACGACTATGAACAAATAATTTAAACATCCATTTTATTAAACCCTATTTTTCTGTACAGATTTTTCAGACCATTTGTTTTACCAACATTTTTTTTTCTATAAAACAAACAAAAAGATTACAATAATCATTATTCTTTGACAGAGATGAAAAATATATTCCCAAAAGCTGCAACTGTGGTGTGTGATTTACCCCAGCAGACCCAGGGGTAAGAACATCCGGCCATTTAAAGTTGCTAACAGATGTCAAATACAACACTGTATACAATCACAAACAAAGAGTATGACAAGATTAAAAAAATGACCTCGCTATTCCTAGATTTTAGATTTGAGTTAAGATAGTAAAGTTAATAGTTTGGTCTCTCAACATTAGAAGAACTAAAGAGAAACTTTAATTTAACTTGAACATTAGGAAATCAGCCAGAAAACTAACCGGTGCATCTCTCATTGAATTGCAAAGTGAAAAATCCAACTCATTCCTCCTTTTCTTTTAAAAAGTAAAAAAGTTTCAACTTAATATATTTTTAAAAGTCCTTCATAATAAATAAGATTTCTGTTAAAAAATAAAGTAAATAAATTAATAAGTAGATTTTTTTTTTTTCTAAAACGATGACCAAATAAAGTGCAATCTCCCATGAAAGGCAGTGTTCATCTTTAGAAGTGAAAACAACACTAAGAACTCAACCGCTACGCTCTGGTAAACTCTGAACTCCTGCAACCCGTGTGGTTCTCTTACTAAAACAGTAGAGCTTACAATGTCCACATTATATTTGATTGTAAAAAGCTCTGC